ACGGTGATGGTGGAGGTGGGGGTGATAGTTTTGGTTATGGTGGTGGTGGTGATGGTGATGGTGGTGGTGGAGGTGAAAGTGATGGTTTTGGTGGTGGTGGTGGTAGAGGTAGGGGTGATGGTTTTGGTGATGGTGGTGGTGATGGTGATGTTGGTGGTGGAGATGGAGGTAATGATTTTAGTGATGGTGATGGTGGAGATGGGGGTGATGGTTTTAGTGATGATGATGGTGGGGGTGATGATTTTGGTTTTGGTGGTGGTGGTGGTGGTGGTGGTGGAGGTAGGGGTGATGGTTTTGGTGATGGTGGTGGTGGTTGTGATGGTGATGCTGGTGGTGGAGGTGGAGGTAATGATTTTAATGATGGCAGTGATGATGGTGGTGGTGGAGACGGGGGTGATGGTTTTAGTGATGATGATGGTGGGGGTGATGATTTTGGTTTTGGTGGTGGTGGTGGTGGAGGTGGGGGTGATGGTTTTGGTGGTGGTGGTGGCGGTGGTGATGGTGATGTTAGTGGTGGAGGTGGGGGTGATAGTTTTAGTGATGTGGTGGTGGAGGTGATGGTTTTAGTGATGCTAGTGTTAATGATGGTAGTGTGGGTGGAAGTGATGGTTTTGGTGGTGGTGGTGGAGGTGGGGGTGATGGTTTTGATGATAGTCATGGTGGTGGTGATGGTGGTGTTGGTGGTGGAGGTAATGATTTTAGTGATGGTGATGGTGGTGGAGATGGGGGTGATAGTTTTAGTGATGGTGGTGGTGGTGGAGATGGGGGTGATAGTTTTAGTGATGTGGTGGTGGAGGTGATGGTTTTAGTGATGCTAGTGTTAATTATGGTGGTGTAGGTGGAAATGATGGTTTTGGTGGTGGTGGTGGAGGTGGGGGTGGTGGTTTTGGTGATGGTGGTGGTGATGGTGGTGTTGGTGGTGGAGGTGGAGGTAATGATTTTAGTGATGGTGACGGTGGTGGAGATGGGGTGAATAGTCTTAGTGATGTGGTGGTGGAGGTGATGGTTTTAGTGATGCTAGTGTTAATTATGGTGATGTTGGCGGTGGAGGTGGAAATGATGGTTTTGATGGTGGTGATGGTGGTGGTGGAGGTGAGGGTCATGGTTTTGCTGATGGCAGTGGTGAAGGTGAGGGTGATGGTGGTAGAGGCGGAAGGGATGGTTTTGGTGGTGGCAGTGGTGGAGCTGAGGGTGATGGTGGTAGAGATGGAAGGGATGGTTTTCATGATGGTGGTGGTGGATGTGGGGGTAATAGTTTTGGTGATGGTGGTGGTGATGGTGATGTTGGTGATGGAGGTGGAGGTAACGATTTTAGTGATGGTGATGGTGGTGGAGATGGGGGTGAAAATTTTAGTGATGATGATAGTGGGGGTGATGATTTTGGTTATGGTGGTTGTGGTGATGGTGATGTTAGTGGTGAATGTGATAGTTTTAGTGATGTGGTGGTGGAGGTGATGGTTTTAGTGATGCTAGTGTTAATGATGGTGATGGTGGTAGAGGTGGAAGTGATGGTTTTTGTGGTGGTGGTGGTGAGGGTGATGGTGGTAGAGGTGGAAGGGATGGTTTTGGTGGTGATGGTGGTGGTGGAGGTAAGGGTGATGGTGATAGAGGTGGAAGGGATGGTTTTGGTGGTGGTGGTGGTGGAGGTGAGGGTGATGGTGGTAGAGGTGGAAGTGATGGTTTTGGTGGTGGTGGAGGTGAAGGTGATGGTGGTAGAGGTGGAAGGGATGATTTTCATGATGGTGGTGGTGGATGTGGGGGTGATGGTTTTGGCAATGATGATAGTGATGGTGGAGGTGGAAATGGTGAGGTGGTGGTAGTGGTGACGGGATGTCAACGTGGTTTTGGTAGAGATGAAGGTGGTGGTGATACCTCACAACCTCAGCCCAGGAGAAGTATAGCAAGAGAAGATTTGAAGTCGGAGGACCTTACTTCTGGGTCCAATTCTGCTACTTACTACCTGGTGACCTGGGGCAATTTGCCTGGCCTCTCTGAAGCTCAGTTTTCTCATCAGTAAAGGGAGTGATATTGCTTCCCTTTCTGGACAGTGTGGGGATTAGAGGGGCCGAGGCCTGTGGCCGCCTGTGATTAACTGTAATTCTGGGGCACTGTGGGCCTCGAGGATGGGCCAGCTTGACTGCTGTGCAGACAAGGCCAGGGTCTAGAGAATGCTGCTGCAGAGGACTGCGGCATCTGTGACTTTTTCTGGGGAGCAGGAGCCCCTCCTTGTTCAGGGGGCAGCTCCTCTTCCTTTTGGGGAATCTCACACAATGTATATTTCCCTTGGTGTGGTTCAGAGGGGCTGGCAGTCCTAGGATCCGCACTTCCTGGTCACAGGGGTGGACCTTTGATGCAGGCTGGGCCCAGTGTATCTCTCCCTAGGCCTCTTCTACTTTGGCTCAAGAGCTACAAAACTGCCTGAGGCTGCCAACAGTTGTCTTTCCCCTTGAAGAGTCCCCGGTTTGCCATGGGAAGTCTAAGGGTAACTCACTAAGAGCAGCAGAGACAAGAAGCACGGAAAGAGGAGCAGGGGGAGAAAGAGGAGGAGAAACAGGGATGGTGCCAAAGAGAACCCCAGGGGCTTCGTTGAAGCTGCTGAATCCAGCTGTGCCTGAAGACAGCACCATCCTCTCAGTTACACAGGTTACAGAATGACCTCAGGAGTTAGAGTTGGGCTTCCGTGTTTTGCAAACCAAAGAGTCCTTCTCTACACCTCTCACCGCTTCGGTCTCCCAGAATTCCCAGAACCTTCCCAAGAAAGCACAATTTGTGACAGGGCTGACTTCCAAATTTGGGGACAAAAGACTCTTGTCTTGGCAGACCAGATCTGGCTTATTCCCGCTCTTTCCAGAGAACGCTGGGACTGACCCAGCTCCTGGCCCCGATGTCCGGGGACAGAGGTCAAGATGTGCCGCCAACCCCTGCCTCCCCAGGCAGCCCCTTTATAGGAAACTTTTCATACACAGTGGAACAGACCGGGCACGGTGGCTCACACCTGTAATCCCAGCACTTTGGGAGGCTGAGGCGGGTGGATCACCTGAGGCCAGGAGTTTGAGACCACCCTGGCCAACATGGTGAACCCCCATCTCTACTAAAAATACAAAAATTAGCTGGGTGTGTGACTCACACCTGTAATCCCAGCACTTTGGGAGGCCAAGGCAGGAGAATCGTTTGAACCTGGGAGGCGGAGGTTGCAGTGAGCCGAGATTGTGCCACTGCACTCCAGCCTGAATGACAGAGTGAGACTCTGTCTCAATAAACAAACAAACAAACAAACAGACCAACCGTGGAACACCGTGACTGCACTCATGGATTACATAAAGTCTCATTTGAAACAATTCAAATGACACAGGAAAATGCTGATAGTCACCCCTTGCCCCCAGAGACGACCCCGGGAACCCTGGCAGACACTCTCCACTTGTCCCCAGGTATACACATGCCACTTCTTGTCAGCGGAATGGCTATGGGCTGTTCTGAAACTTGCTTTATTCCGGAGTCTTTCTGGGCACTGAGCACAGCTTCCTGACTTGTTAAAATGAAACTTCTTGGTCGCCTATTGAAACGATTTATTTGTTCAGTCCCCAGTGATGCATATGTAGGTTGTTGCCAATTTTTTGTGACCTTAAACATCCCTGCAGTGAACACACTTACGTGTTCAGATTTTACACCTATCCCGTCATTTCTGTGGGGTACATTGCTAGACAGGGAACTGCTGTGTCAGAACATATTTAGATTTTGGAGGGATTTGACACATTCTACTCAAGTTTGCTGAGGATTGGAAAGTCAGTGAGGGAGGATGTCGGTGAGCCCCAAATCCGCGACCACACTGGGTTTTGTTCATCGGAAAGAAAAATGGAAAAATGAATTTTTTTTTTTTCTTTTTTTTGAGACGGAGTCTCACTCTGTCTCCAGGCTGGAGTGCAGTGGTGGGATCTCGGCTCACTGCAACCTCCGCCTCCCAGGTTCAAGCAATTCTCCTGCCTCAGCCTTCTGAATAGCTGTGATTATAGGCACGTGTCACCTCCCCCGTCTAATTTGTGTATTTTTAGTAGAGACAGGGTTTCACCATGTTGGCCAGGATGGTTTCCATCTCCTGACCTCGTGATCCACCCACCTCGGCCTCCCAAAGTGCTGGAATTACAGGTGTGAGCCATTGCTCCTGACTCCCGAGAAATGATTTTTGAGGTGGGAGAGAGGAGTCGGTAAGAGGGCCCCACTTTTAGGAACCATAGCTTCCTCACTGCTCAGTACAGGCCTTGTTCATCTTTGGAAAAAACAGGCGATGGTGGTGAGGGAGGCAGAGGAGGAAGTGTCGTGGAATGTGGTGGCTCTGTTAGGTGAACAGCTGTTCCAGCTCACCTGGAATTTTCCTGCTTGGTTTTGTCACTGCAAGGTCCTCATCCTGGGAAGCGTCTCCTCTGCATGGGCAAATCAGAACAGTTAGTCACCTACTTTCAGCTTCCGGGGCCTGTTTCTCAAGGCCAGAGGCTCTGCTGGTATGCCCTGTGCCTTCCCTAGGGACAGCGGGTCCCATGTGTGCCTTCCACGCTGGCTTCCGGGAAGGCGTGTGCTGAGAAGCAGCAGGCCCAGTGCCCAACGGGCTTGGCCGCTGGCTACCAGGGCTGGCAGCACAGAGTGGTCCCAGGTCTCCTGAATCAGGAACCCGGGCAAAGCTGTGCCCATTCCCACGGAAGTGGCTGTGCTTCATCTACCCGGAGAGGGTGCTCACAGGTTGATAAAACTGCTGTGTGATACTGAACCCAAGGGGCTTGCTTCTCCCTTGTCCTCATTCCACCAAGTGGAGGAAACCAAGGCATGGGAAGGGGAGTGACTTGCTCCAAGTCATGTAGCTCTGAGTCTCCGAGCTTGGACCAGAATCCAGGTCGCCGTCCTCCCAGTGGGTCACTCTACCCTGCACCCAGGAGCAATGTGTACTGCTTCGGGAAAGCCACCTGGGACGAACTCTTATGGCTTTGCACCCCCTTGTCCCATGGCTACAGGGCCAGCAGCTTCTCTCTGAGCTGTTTCCTGATGGAAGACCAACTCAACAGACTTGAACAAAAGAGGCTGGCCTGGTACAGAACAGGTGTGGCGGGTCCAGGCTTCAGAAGAGGTCGGGAATTTTCCTTCCATGGTCACTCGCTCTCCTATCCCCATCTCTGCTACTTGAAGATGGAAAAGTAGAATCAGCACACCCAGTGACCCTGGAGACAGAGGCTTGCATCTAATTTCTAGATCAATGGGTTCCTGTCTGGACTCCGTATTAGCAAATGTAAGGCTCTCTTGGTGCGAATATAATCCTGTACCCTAGTTTATCTTTCTCCCTCCATTGGACTAGCTCCTCCTAATCAATCTTTATCCGTTCCATCCGTCCGATATGTTAGAAAAAGAAGGGCCATCCAAGTTATTCCTTTAATGGCTACCTTAGGCTATAACCTCCAGGCTTAGGTTGGGAGCAGGCGGACTGGCCACCTCTTTAACATACATTAAAGCTCTGTCAACAGAACTGCAAGGTTCATTAAAAGATATAGTCCAAAGTCTGATAAAAGTCCAAGACCAGGGCGGACATGGTGGCTCACGCCTGTAATCTCAGCACTTTGGGAGGCTGAGGCTGGCAGATCATTTGAGGTCAGGAGTTCGAGACCAGTCTGGCCAATCTGATGAAATGCCATTTCCACTAAAAATACAAAAATTAGCCAGGCCTGGTGGCACATGCCTGTAATCCCAGCTACTCTGGAGGCTGAGGCAGGAGAATTGCTTGAACCCAGGAGGCAGAGGTTGCAGTGAGCCGAGATCATGCCACTGCACTCCAGCTTGGGCAACATAGCAAGACTTGGTCTCAAACAAACAAGCAAACAAACAAACAACAAAAAAAAGAGAGTCCAAGACCAACTAGACTCTTTGGCTGGAGTAGACCTCCAAAATCGACAGGGATTAGATCTTACAATGGGTGAAAAGGGAGGCCCCTGCCTCTCATTGGGTGAAGAATGTTGCTTCTATCTCAACCAATCGGACCTAGAAAGAGATGCTGCTGAAAAACTTAAAGAAAGGGCCAAAAAACTAAGAGAATATCCAGACAATCAACTAAATTCTTGGTTTAAAAACAAAATCCTAACATTAAGACAATCTTTCCTCTTATCTTCATACCTAAAAGGAAGATATTTTTGTTCCCTTTCAATTGTTTGTTGAGGCAGAATTGACATACAATAAACTGCATATGTTTACAGTGTACAATTTGGTAAGTTTTGACATCTTTATACACCCATGAAAATATCACTATGATCAAGATAATAAATATGTCCACAACCCCCAAAGTTTCCCATGTTCCTCCCCACCCCCATCCCCCGGGAAACACTTCTCTGCTTGTTCTCATGATAGGTTGTTTGCATTTTCTAGAATTTTATATAAATAGTGTCATAAAGTACACACGCTTGCTTTGCCTGTATTCTTTTGCTCAGTATAATTATTCTGAGGTTCATCTACATTGTCACTTGTATGACTAGTTCGTTCCTTTTTATTGCGGAGTACAGTTTCACTAAGTGGATGTACTGGTTTGTTTTTATCTCCTCCCCAGTTAATAGACATCAGAGTTGTTTCTAGTTTGGGGCCATTACAATAAGGCTGCTATGAACATCTGTGTATAAGCCTTTGTATGGACATAGGTCTCATTTCTCTTGGGTATATATCGAGGAGTGAAACGACTGTGTTATACCTATCGGTATTGCTATCGAGATTGTTTTGAATCTGTAGATCAATTTTGGGAGAACTGGCATCTTTTGACCCATGAACATGGTCTATTTCTCAGTTTATTTAGGTCTTCTTTAATTTCTCTCAGAAAAGTTCAGTTTCACACAGGTTTTTGTCAGACTTGTCTATGTGTGTATTTCCTATTTTTGTTGTGTTTCTGTAATTGTTTTTATTCCGGGTGTGTCATGTTGCTATTATACAGACACACAATGGCTTTCTGTATATGGATCTTCTATACTGCAACCTTGTGAAACTCATTGGTGACTTCTAGTAGCTTTTTTCATAGACTCCATAAGATTTTCTCTGTCGATGGTTGAATTGTTTGTAAATAAAGACAGATTTATTTGCTCCTTTCTAATTCAAAGACACTTCCTCCCTTCCTCCCTCCCTTACTTCCCTTCTCTTCCCCTCCTCCTTCTTTTTTCTTTCTTCTTAAAACCTTACTACACTGGCAAGAACCTTACATGCAATGTTGCAATGTTGATTAGAAGTGCCTTATTCCTGATCTTAGAGGGAAAGATTTTGGTCTTTCACTATTAAGTATGATGTTAGTTGTGGGTTTTTCACAGATGCCCTTTACCAGGTTGAGGAAGTTTCCTTTTATTCCTATTTTGTTGAGGGTTTTTATCAGCAATACATGCTGAATTTGGACTAATGCTTTTCTTGCATCCATTGAGACAATGTGCTTTTATATTGTAAATATAATATTTTCACAATAATATTATGAGTTATATTGTTTTCTACTGTTAACCAACCTTGTATTCCGACAATAAACTATACTTGATCATATGTATTATTCTTTTATGTGTTGCTGGACTTGATTTTTAAAACTTTGTTTAGAATGTTTGCATCTATTTCATGAGGGATATTAGTTTGTAGCTTTCTTGTAACATATTTGTATGATTTTGACATTACAGTAATGCTGGCTTCATAGAATAAGTTGGAAATGTTCCTTTCTCTTAAATTTTCTGGCAAATTTTGCATAGATTGAAATTATTTCTTTCTTAAGTGTTTCATAAAATTCACCAGTAAGGCCTAGAATTTTCTCTGTGGGAAAGTTTTTAACTTCTTTAAAAAATATGGACTACTCAGGTTATCTATTTCTTCTTGAGTGAGCTTTATTAGTGTTTTTCTTTCAAGGAATTTGTCCATTACATCTAAATTGTCAAATTTCTTGTCATACAATTATTTATCATATTTCTTTTAATATGTGTGCAATCAGTAGTAATGCTACCTCTCTCATTTCTCATATTAGTAATTTGTCTTCTTTCTTTTTTATCTGATGAGTAGGGCTTGATGTTTGTAAGTTGGATTGATCTTTTCAAATTACCAGTTTTTGGTTTCATTGATTCTATTTTTTTAAATTTTATTGACTTCTGCTCTAATGTTTATTATTTCCTTTTTTCTGTTTCTCTTTGGTTAAATTTGTCCTTTTTTCTCTAGTTTCTTAAGGTAAAAGCTGGGATATTTTAGTGCTATAAATTACTTAGTGTACTGGTTTAACCACATCCCACAGACTTTGATAGGTTGTGTTTTCATTTTCAAATATCTCAGAATGTTTTCTAATTTCCATTTCCTAATTATCTTTTCGATTTCTTTAAACTGTGCTTTACAGAGAAGTGTTATTTAGTTTCAAAATGTTTGGGGATTTTGCAGATATCATTCTATTATTTGGTGTCTAATTTTATTCTAATTTGGCCAGAAAACATATGTTGAATGATTTGAATCCTTTCAAATTTATTGAGATTTTTCGCACTCTTTTAAATGTATTGAGATGAGATTATGATATATTTTTGAAAAATGTTCTGTGTATTTGAAGATAATTTATATTTTGCTGTTGAGAATGAAGTATTCTAAACATGCTCATTGGGTCACATTTATTGCTAGATTGCTAGTGTTATTCAAGTCTTCTATATTCTTCTTCTTTTCTTCCCTTTTTTTTTTTTTTGGAGACAAAGTCTCACTTTGTCACCCAGGCTGGAGTGCAGTGGTGTGATCTTGGCTCATTGTAACCTCTACCTTCTGGGTTCAAGCAATTCTCCTGCCTCAGCCTCTGGAGGAGCTGGGACTACAGGCATGTACCACCATACCTAGCTAATTTTTGTATTTTTAGTGGAAATGGCCTTTAGCCATGTTGGCCAGGCTGTTCTCGAACTCCTGACCTCAGGTGATCTGCCTGCTTCAGCCTCCCAAAGTGCTAGGATTACAGGTGTGAGCCACCATGCCCAGACCTATATTCTTATTGACTTCTGTGTATTTCTCCTGTCAATTATAGAGCTGTTGAAACCTACTACTATGACTGGATTTGTGTATTTCTTTTGTAGTTCTGCTCATTTTGCCTCATGTATTTTGAAGGTCTTATTTGGCATATAAACATCTAGAATTGTTATGTGCACTTGAGAATTGAAACCTTTTGTCATTATGAAATGACTATTTCTGGCAATATTCTTTCCTTTAAAACCTACTTTGCTATTAGTATAGTAAAGTAGCAAATATTAATATAGCAAAGTAGATTGGCATGGTGATTAGTATGGTACATCTTCTTTTATCCTTTTGCTTTAAAATTATTATTTTTTTAATATTTAAAGTGGGCTTCTTGTAGGCAGCATATAATTGGGTCTTGCTTGTTTTATCCAACCTACCAATCTCTGTTTTTTAATTGCGGTGTTTAGACCATTACATTTAATGTGATTGTTGATATAATTGCATTTAATTCTGCCATCATGTTTTTTGTTTTGTATTTGTATTACTTGTTCTGTGTTTCATTTTCTCTCCTTTCTACCTTCTTTGTGATTAATTATCATTAATTCCTTCATTTTATCTTATTTATTGGTTTATTAGCTGTAATTCTTTGCTGTATTATATTAGTGGTTGCTAAAGGGTTTATAGTATACATTTTATCACAGTTTATCTTTGAATGATATTATCCTTCAGTGATATTATACCACCTAACATCCAGTAAAAGAAGTTTATAGCAGTATACTTTGATTTCATGTCTCACCTTTGTACTATTGTTTTCATACCATTTAGGTGTCCAATTGTGTTTGTGTCTGTGTCTGTGTGTGTACAGCAGCGAGAGGCAACTATTATAGTTCCCATTTAGTTGTTGAGAAAAGTTTGGCTTTCCCACTTGTAAAAATCATTTGCAGCTCAAATGTCCCCTCCTCCAGGCAGCCTTTCCCAGCCTCTGCCAATGAGGAACTATTTCCCCACACACAGGCTCCCGTGGCCTGGGCCATACTCTTCTTGCAGCCGCAGGGCATGTCTTTTCTGTCTGCGCCATCAGATGGTCACCTACTTGAGGGCAGAGCTCAAAACCACAGGACTCTCCCTTGAGTCCTTCACAGTCCCTTGTCCGCAGCTGGTGCTCCATCTGCACTTACTGAATTGGCCCGAATGCCACGATCCAGATTCAGCCCTAGCAACAACCTCACGGCATCTCAAGGTGTGGTGCGATGAAAAAAGCATGAGCTTTGAGATTGGAAAGACATGACTTCAAATTCTGAGCCCACCACTAATTGGCTGTGCGTGACTTGGGTGAGAAAGAATCACCTGAGCCTTTGTCTGTCCGTTTGTATAATGGGGATATTGACAGGTTTTTCCTGTCAGGCTGGCTATAAAGACAACTAAAATGTACTAAAGCACTAGAACTTTGGCAGGCCTGTCTGGGCACTGAGGAAACACCAGCTTCTCTGATTCTCTGCCCCACACCTCCTTTCTGTTTGGCCCCCTCTCTTGCCCTGGGCCAAAGCTTAAAGTCGCACATCGTGAAGTCTTTCTGGTCCATTTGTCCATTTGCCAGTCCAATCTGCAGCCAGATGTCTATGCCCATGAAAGTCTGTCCTGCCATTTAATAAATTTGTCATGGGGTAACTATGAGGCCACAGAGCAATGCCTTCCCAGGACACCTGATGTGGGCTGGATAAACCCA